TCCTAATTAGTACCTAGGATCGCTATTGTGGCAATTTTTTTCCAAATTATTCTGAAACTTATGTATTGTTTGGAGGGTTCGCATTTGTGGTAAAACAAAATTAGGAGAGTCCTTTTTTTTGCAAAAAAAACTGTAATTGCTAAGAGACATTTTTCTCAAAAACGCTGTAGCTCAATCAATTTTTTGCTCATCTCCCTATCTGAGCCTGTAAATGCATCTCTATCTGAGTAGGTTTGTTTGCTGGGTTCACTATTGCAGCAAGCTGTGCCAGAGCAGCCCCTGAAGAAGGGAAGTAAACCATTTCCAAAATTACCAAATTCAAATTGCAAGCCTTTCACAAAAAAACCAATCCCTTATTAAACCCTTATTAAAGAACAGCTTTCCCACAATTTTCCAAGGCCCTGGACCAGTAGAGGCCCCATTTCACTTTAGTAGGTTTGTTTGCTGGGTTCACTATTGCAGCAAGCTGTACCAGAGCAGCCCCTAAAGAAGGGAAGCAAACCATTTCCAAAATTGCCAAATTCAAACTACAAGCCTTTCCCAAAAAAACCAATCCCTTATTAAACCCTTATTAAAGAACAGCTTTCCCACAATTTTCCAAGGCCCTGGACCAGTAGAGGCCCCATTTCACTTTAATAGGTTTGTTTGCTGGGTTCACTATTGCAGCAAGCTATGCCAGAGCAGCCCCTGAAAAAGGGAAGCAAGCCATTTCCAAAATTACCAAATTCAAACTACAAGCCTTTCACAAAAAAACCAATCCCTTATTAAACCCTTATTAAAGAACAGCTTTCCCACAATTTTCCAAGGCCCTGGACCAGTAGAGGCCCCATTTCACTTTAGTAGGTTTGTTTGCTGGGTTCACTATTGCAGCAAGCTGTGCCAGAGCAGCCCCTGAAGAAGGGAAGCAAGCAATTTCCAAAATTGCCAAATTCAAACTGCAAGCCTTTCCCAAAAGAACCAATCCCTTATTAAACCCTTATTAAAGAACAGCTTTCCCACAATTTTCCAAGGCCCTGGACCAGTAGAGGCCCCATTTCACTTTAGTAGGTTTGTTTGCTGGGCTCACTATTGCAGCAAACTGTGCCAGAGCAGCCCCTGCAGAAGGGAAGCAAGCCATTTCCAAAATTGCCAAATTCAAACTGCAAGCCTTTCCCAAAAGAACCAATCCCTTATTAAACCCTTATTAAAGAACAGCTTTCCCACAATTTTCCAAGGCCCTGGACCAGTAGAGGTCCCATTTCACTTTAGTAGGTTTGTTTGCTGGGTTCACTATTGCAGCAAGCTGTGCCAGAGCAGCCCCTGAAGAAGGGAAGCAAGCCATTTCCAAAATTGCCAAATTCAAACTGCAAGCCTTTCCCAAAAGAACCAATCCCTTATTAAACCCTTATTAAAGAACAGCTTTCCCACACTTTTCCAAGGCCCTGGACCAGTAGAGGCCCCATTTCACTTTAGTAGGTTTGTTTGCTGGGTTCACTATTGCAGCAAGCTGTGCCAGAGCAGCCCCTGCAGAAGGGGAGCAAGCCATTTCCAAAATTGCCAAATTCAAACTGCAAGCCTTTCCCAAAAGAACCAATCCCTTATTAAACCCTTATTAAAGAACAGCTTTTCCACAATTTTCCAAGGCCCTGGACCAGTAGAGGCCCCATTTCACTTTAGTAGGTTTGTTTGCTGGGTTCACTATTGCAGCAAGCTGTGCCAGAGCAGCCCCTGCAGAAGGGAAGCAAGCCATTTCCAAAATTGCAAAATTCAAACTGCAAGCCTTTCCCAAAAGAACCAATCCCTTATTAAACCCTTATTAAAGAACCGCTTTTCCACAATTTTCCCGGGCCCTGGACCAGTAGAGGCCCCATTTCACTTTAGTAGGTTTGTTTGCTGGGTTCACTATTGCAGCAAGCTGTGCCAGAGCAGCCCCTGGAAGCCCCTACAAGTACTACAAGTACTACAAGTACTACAAGTACTACATGTACTACAAGTACTACAAGTACTACAAGTACTACAAATACCACAACTTCATCGGCAAAAAAAACAATAGTAATTAGATTTCAATTGTAGCCAATTGAAATCCTTACTTAATTGAGGATATGTTTTTCTTTTGGGAAGAAAATTTTTGACTTTCTACTTTAAAGAGAGTCCAGAAATAGTTTAGGGGAGGGGGGGGGGCCACACACTAATCAGGACGCAACATTATTGTCGACCTGTTTATGGATGGTTTTTCAAGTTCGAGGTTGGAGCAACGACGTGAGCAGCAGAAGCAGCTGCTCATGGAGCAAACGCTGGCGGCATTCCGGCGGCAAAGTTTGCAACAAGAGAGGAGGACGACATTGGACGACGTGGGAAAGTAACGTGGGAAAGTAACGTGGGATCCGAAGGAAAATTCCATTCACAATCCATAGATTTGACCCAACAATTTCTTCAACAAGGGGGAAGCCATGAAATTCATTCATGGTTAAGGGGAGACAATTCATGATTCATTCAATCAATACTCCATTCACAATAGGTTTGGATGAACAAAAAAAAATGTGACTTCGCCGAACTCTGTGACCGTCACGGATTTTTGGGGATCCCATGGGATCCCCAAAAAAGGGCCGCAAGTTTCAGGTGAGTTATCCATTCCCGGATACCCTCCGGTAAATAAACATAGACCCTGAAAATCACCAATTTTTAATGGAAACTAGTCTTCCAACCCCGATGACTGCCAGGGTCTATGTTTATTTACCGAAGGGTAAATGGGAATGGCTTTGCAATTTGCCCAGAGATGAATGTGAGATGAACATACAGTAATTATATACTGTGGACAAGCCATCCTGCACCAGTTGGCAGACTGGTAGATGGTTTATCCATGTTTATCCCGTTAGAATCCCGTTACTTACAGTGTTTCATAGTTGCCAGGAGTTACCAACATATGGTCATATGATTTTGGGATGAATGTGAGATTAACATAGAGTGACTAACCACAACTTGAGTTGTACAATCATATGGGTGGCAAAACGTTTGAATTGTCACAATATGGTCGATGGGATGAAAGTGTGACTATGATAGATTAACATAGATTAACCACATCCCCAATGCTCCATGCATGGAATATATACCAATATTCATATATACACCACCAAAATTGTCCAAATGTAGGCACAAATTATT